ATAAGCACTACCGTTATAGTCCATTACTTCTTTTCGCTTCTTGGAAGTTGCCTGTGATGTGAAACGTTCTTGAGAAACGCGTTCCCAGCCATTAGATAACTGATCTGATTGATTGCTGGAATGTTCTATCTTACTACGATTTTCACCTATGTGACGTTTTTAACCGCAGATACTATTAGACACTACTACTTTTGCTGTTGCTACTGACTGCACCAGTACTGTCGCCATTATAAAAGTAGAGCAAAAGTAGGAACAGAAATCAGGAAAAGCGGAGAAATAGTGTTCCTTCCAAAATTAGGCAAAAGTATATCGTCCACGATCAACACAAACTTGTATAATATAACCTGTGTATATAATAAAACCAGTTTATGTAATTATAAGGATTTCAAGTAGTAATACACTAGTGATTATGTTACATAATTACTGAAACAAATTTCAGGTAATATAGTATCGGTCCCAATTATCAGTAATCTTGGTATCGGTGTGGGAATGCTCGTGTGGGGTTCCACACAGGCATGCATTTCTTTTAGATTTAATAAAAAGCAAAAGTCATTAAACAATTTTACTGTTGTTAATCTCTGCTTTCATTTGACTCATTTTCCTCATATTTTTTCAGCCGATTTTATAAGTACCTGTTTTTTTTCAGTTAATTGGAACATGAGGAATTCAGATTTGTAGGTACTGGTTGGTTGGGGAGTTGCACGATTTGGCTTATTTGGCACACATCCACAACCAGTGTATAATAATACGATGAATATGCTTGGACTGCTTTTTGTACTGTTGAGGTTGGTCAAGCTAGATTTAACTGCGTAAACTGTGATTCACTCACTTAAATCTTCATGCCAATGACTTAGTGAATAGTTTATAAATAATCACTACATTTTTTGTCACCATGTAATAACTTATTATGTGAAGACTTCAGATGCACAATATACAGGAATTTGAATTAAAATTAGGAACGTTGGAATCAATGTGAAGTAGCGTTTTTAGTAGATACAATAATTTCAAATAAATTTGATCGAAAGGAACTGACTAGGACTCATTAAATGTCAAGTATGATTACCTTTCCGAATTAAACGTATTAACAGACTTGGATTTAAGTGATGTAAAATTTAGCATTATCATTTACTAGTCGAATTAAAAGCAGAAAACCAAGTGGGATTTAATACAGTAAATACTTTTGTGTGAAACGGATCCAGATTTCTCTGATATTTATCTCATTTACCTTCAGGCTATATATATAATATCGCATGAAAATAAATCGTCTTTTCTTCATTATTGATTCTTGTGCTGGGTCCTATTTTGGCATTCTCGCTGCAGTCGCTTCACGCTCAGTTCTGCTGTGCTGATCTCCGCTGCTTCGTCCTCGTGGAATTCAAGGCGCTGATCGAATGAGATGCTTTCGAGCGTTTTCTTGAGCACTATCGACTGGATGTATTCCTCAACATAATCAGATATACTGATCAGATGGAAGTTCGTCACTATTCCATCCCAAGTAACTACGTTCAAAATTATTTTCATCCTGCAATTCATCTCTGCCCTCAGTTTATTAGCCAGTAAATCCTACTTCCGCTTTTTCTTGGTCTCGACTGCTATCAACCTGTCGTGACCAGTGATGCCAATCTCTATCACAATTACTTCATGTCGCTTCTTATCGTATACCAGAATGTCCGGTCGATCCGCTTTTATTCTAATTGCAATCATTACTCGCGTATCGACTTTAATTTCCATGTTTGCAGCGACGATTTCTTAAACGGAATAGTTCCGCTTCTGTGGAAGTGCTTTAAGACTATATTTTTTGTGGAGTTCTACATGGATACATCACAGAACCTTATAGTATTTTCTAGTATAATAGTGATAGAGCATTTTCTCGCGCAGCGTTGCTAGATACTCCACCGTCTTCACAGGTCGTGTTAAAACGATAGACCATCGTTCTACAAAGACACGACGTACTGACCTCAAAAGGTGTCCCAAACAAAGGCAGTGACTTCAGGCCAATAACCTATATACGAACCTTTACGAGTTGACAATGAAATGTGTGGCAGATGTCATGCAATTAGATATTGCCACGAGAAGAAGACTATTTGCAGACAACCAATTAGGAACTGATGGCCAGGTAGGTTCAAAATGTAAAAGAGCAGATACCTTTGAACATGGTAGGTTGCAAAAAGCATGGAAACCAGCCATATACTACGTGGTATGACGTTAAAAGACTGATTGAGTTAGTAATAGCTTGCTTTTTTATTTCTTGAAGGCTAATCGTACAAATGAACTTCGCGCAATATGCGGAACGATAAAAGGGCCAGCTCTCGGTATCTTCCCAAAACTGTCTTCAGTACTTTGCATGACGAGAAGTTCGTGCATTTCGAAAAGGTGCTCTGAGGAACCTTAATTTTCCGAATGAGTACTTCGAGCGTAATCTTCCTGCTGGTTCACCGCTCCGATAAACTGGCAGAGTGCTCTCTTGCCTCCTTCACGGAGCCTTTCACAATTACACCTGTTTTTCCATTGTTTTCTACTACAATTCCAGATGTGGGCTTTTCCGTTCATCCTCCATTTTCTTCTCAGACTTTTGATATCTTGAATGTATGACAACACAGTATTCTTCTTTTAGGTTTCCAACTTTTTTTGTAACAGGCTTTTCTTCTTCTCTATTCACTCCATGTTTATTATTCTTTTTCATCTTCTTCCCTTGTTTTGTCTCAGTTCCTTCTGAAGTACTCCAATAAGGGGCTGCATAAGCACTACCGTTATAGTCCATTACTTCTTTTCGCTTCTTGGAAGTCGCCTGTGACGTGGAACGTTCTTTAGAAACGCGTTCCCAGCCATTAGATAACTGATCTGATTGACTGCTGGAATGTTCTGTCGTACTTATATATACATTAAAATTTTGAAGTATTTCAAACTAACGTTACGAATAAACCACCGCTCAGAAAAATTCACTATGATTAGATCCGAGTTTGGTAGTTTTCATCAATTTTCAGTGGATTTATGTTTATATTTGTAAAACATCAGCGTCAAGAAAGGGATTCATCGGTTAAAAGTACTAACATTAATTCAACGACAGCGCAAGTAAGTGTCTACGTTGCACAAGAAACTCATACACCAGTTCAAATTCGAAATCAGACGAAATTGATGTTTCACGCCAAAATACGGTAAGACGAAAAAGCATAGTTCTAATTTAATTCATTTAGCACGAGTTTGCTCTTTTTAATGTGGAACATATGTAATAAACGCAATATAGACGAATTTAGGAGTGTGATGTTCGAAAGTCACTGAGTATGGCTATGATTTGAGAAGTTCAAGTATAGAATCCCAAATTTCTTGTTAACTACATAAATTTCAATGAAAAAATAATTTTTAGCTCCTACAATTAAAGTCCAGTTACATGATTAATTGATGTAAATAATCAGTCAGGTTGCTCTAACATTTTCCTAGACTTCGAAAATTCACAGAATTATTTCATGTCATTCAGACACTTTCAAGATAGAGACCAACTTACCACCTGTATATCGACTTAAATAATATTCTTTCGAGATTCCTTGGACTATCCGTTTTTTTGGGTATCTTTCACGGTCTCATGATGACACCAATTGTGTATATACAAGAGAACGATTTGAATGCATCATCTAATGGTAATTATACCACCTTTATCTGAAACCTGCCAATTAATTTATATCCTTACAGAAATATAGCAAGTACGACATCGCGACGATAGAATGACACATCTACTCCTGCTCCTCTGTTTTTATTTATTTACTATTTACTTTAATTCTTGGTCTAATTTCAGTCTTAGACTATGTATTCCCACACTTTTCCACGATATTTGCTTGTTCTACTGCATATTTCATAGCTTACTGCGTATGGATGCGAGGTCGGATATATGCTCCAGCAGAATTGGTAAACCCATTATGATCTAATCGTACTGTTCTCAACATGATTTTACAAAATATTTTGACATCGCCAACATCAACACGAATAACAGGAATGATTCACACGAGAACTAGCGGAAATGAATAAAAAACATTACCACACATGAGTCTTACAGATACTTCCTTCAACTGCATACGGTATACTATGGTGTATTGGCATGTCTCTATGGATAATATCTAATCACATGTTGTCACAAACTGTCAGCTTCCCAATCACCACACGGGTCTGCTTTTCATTTTTTAAACACTTGAAAAGAAAATTTTTTTAAATAAGGAACGAAACTCATTGATGATGATTTCAGTTACCATCAACAATTGGAGTGCTGGCAGATATGCTTCTTTTCAGAACTATAAAGGTGAGCATAACTTGCAATACATATATACAGTAGATAATTACAATGGCTTTTATAAGCACTTCTACACAATTACGGATCGTAATTACATACCATATGCTTAGCATGAAAAAAGGAGGAAATTCTATAATGTTTTCAGGGTACGAAAAACTTGATACTTGCGTTTCTGGCCGTAATCATCGGTCTATTTGGTGTATTATTAATTGCACTTTCAAATCAACATTTGTAATACAATTAATAGACAAATGCAGAATATAATTTTGTTTCATTTAATCAAATCCATTTGCTAGAAATTACTTCCCTATGTATTTGTGCTCACGAACTTTGGATCAAAGCTGATTCACAGGTTTGGTAATTTAGTGAACGAGATTTACAAAGCTATTACAGAAGTGGTAAAAGTGTCATAGAACTAGTGACGGTTCAGTGTAGAAAATCCATAACAAAAAAGGAACTCGAAGTAAACAAGATGTAATAATAACGAGATCAGTTATGCATGCAATTCTTTAAAGAAATGCATGAAATTGTTAAAGACAATTTTTGCTCAGCTTCATATGCTGATACTTTAATACCTAATAGTGAATGATGAATTAGGGAATGATGAATGTGAATTATTCACTGTTATGAATTGTCAGAAATTACAATTAGCCTCATCACTTCTAACGGATGAGACTAACTGTAACTTTCGACAGCAGCAGTTCTTGACAAGCATTATTCTCTACATTGGATTATATGGCATTTATCAGTATTTACCAATTACTTTACCTACTATTTAAGCAATTAAATGTGAGAGAAATACAAATATGATTATATATATAGCCCTTAAAATTGAGCACTTTATACATACTTTTTTGAACAAAAATATAATTTAAAAAACGTTGTATAAATTGTTACCACATTTAATTAGCACAAAGTTTACGCACAACACTATTTTTACCCTATATTGGTCTTCTTGGTAAATTTTGGGGCTACATCGAACTTCAGCGCAAAACTCGTAGATACTTCTTTTTTCACTCCCATTTTGAATTCTTTATACAGTTTAGCATTCTGCACCTAAAAATAGAAAACCTGACCTTTAACAATGAACTTCACGGAGAATTATATTTTCATCTTTCTGAAAATTACCACCACATCAAGTGAAATTAGCTTCAAGTATTAATGCAACAAATAACAGCAAAACTTAATATTGTGACACAAATCAAAGTTTTAAAAAACTAACATCATTAGATGAAGACGGTTTTTTAATCGATGTTTTGGTCACTGATTTTCCTAATTCACTCTTTGCAGGCCAGGTAGGAAACATCTCTGGGGGCGTAGGATGTGGGTAATGCTGAAACCAATGATGACGTAATGCTTCATGAGCAGAAATTCGTTTACTTGGGTCGTACATAAGTAATCTAAAACAATAAGAAAATTAATAACTGAATGGTACTTATTTCATTCAAAAAAGTTACATGCGTATTTTCTTTTGTAATAAGAGACTTTAAATTTAAATGCATATCTAATGCCAAAATATTAGATATATTACTATTTTTGACAATATTAGTACAAGAAAGCAAGAAAAACATACTGTTTAATGAATTCCAATCCCATCTCATCAATTAAATTTGCCGGAAACTTTTTGTCTAATTCTCCCGGCTCAAAACGATCAAAAACAGTTTTTTTTGGACCCGGAAGACTGCTAAATCCAGGCCATACACTGTCGTCAGGAGTTCCAAGTTCCTAAATTACAAGTTGATGTTACAGCTGAAATGGTCTTTCAACACGACCTTTTAAATTAACTCGAAATACAAAATTCTATTTCTGTACCGGTCTATATTTTGTAACTAGGAAATAACTTCAAATTACTGCATGACAGATTCAACATTTTGGAAACAAAGATAGCAATTATTCGCTGCATCTGTTTACTATATGGTGAAACAGAGGAAAACTTACAACGAAAATCTTATTGATCTGATCGATTTCGCCTTTTCCAGGAAACAATGGTTTCAGCTTCAGGAATTCAGCAAATATGCAACCACAAGACCATATATCAACAGCTGTAGAATATTCCTTAAAAATTCGTTGGTGAAAAACTTGGCAAAATGGCTGTCTGGCACTCAATATTGATAAGGAAGGAACTAAAGTACCTTTACACCTAATAACAATTCAGGAGCTCTGTACCAGAGTGTAACAACAACTGGTGTGTATGGCTTAAGAGGATCGCCAAATTCACGCGAAAGTCCGAAATCTCCAATCTAAAAATAATTTAAAGCATAATTCATAAAACAGAAAACTACGAACAGTAAATGATTGCAAATATGACTATGACCATAAAGTACCTTCAAAACTCCTTTATGAGACAGAAGAAGGTTCGATGTCTTCAAGTCACGATGCAGAATCCATTCATCATGCATATGAGCAACACCAGAAAGTAATTGGTGCAATAAAGTTTTCACTTCGCCTGCAACGCCGAAGCAGCTCTTAAAAGCAACAAACAGCAGAACTAAGCTGAGTTAACAATGCAGCTTAACACATTAGTCTTAAAGCATAACGAAACTACTCATTAACGTATATAGAAATACACTAAAAGTGTGACTACAGAAAAATTTTTGGAAACTGGCATTGTATTTATAAATCTAAAGTCGAGAAAGTTCACCTGTCCTGAAGCGTTTCCCACGCGAGTGCATTGCATCCATAAGACTTTTCATATCATGTTCCACATATTCCATCACTAGATAGATTTTGTCCATATTTGAACCAATTACAATTTCCTTAAACAGTCATATAATGTTACTTTGAACTTCTATGAAGTCTGCACAGAGAATTTAGGGTTCCTTACCCGAACATTAACAATATTTGGATGGTTTCCAGCTTTCAGGAGCATATTAATTTCCCGAAGCGAAGTAATCGGGAATCCCTCTTTTTCTTTTTCCATTTTTAAACGTTTAAGAGCAACAATTTCATCTACAAATTAAGAATTAATGTGGAATTCAATGCCGATATATGAAAACTAGAACATAATTTTGCAGCTGTAAGAAGAATGACATTTAAAAAACCTGTTTTCTTTTCTTTAGCCCGATAGACAACGCCAAAAGTGCCTTCTTCAATGCGATTTAAGCACTCAAACTCGGCAACATTTCGGCATCCGCTGATACCCGGATAATAAACGGGTAACTTTGCAACTAGTCTTCTTTGCCATTCTTCTTCGACTCTGAAAAAATTTTATAAGTTCAAATTTATGAAATATAAAAATTTGGCATTAGATTAGTGTCTTCAGATAGCTCACCTAAAGCGTGTTTCTGGAGATAAAGTAGCTATTTGGTCCTCTTTAAAACCAGGATCAATCAAGCTATCGTCGTCTGAATTACGTAGAATCACATCACTTTCTGAACCTAAATTACTAAAACGTAATAGATGGAGCAGTTCAGAGCAATCAGAAAGATTAGAACCATCTGAGGTACCTGAAGCATTATCCATAATTTCGTCAACAACATCCTTCGAAACAGGAGATTTTGCTTCTTTGTCTTCTGCTTTTTCATCTTCGGGATCACTATCAAACTTTGAATACCTCGATGCACTCATTGGAGTGACTAGAAAAAAAAAATAACTGTTTCATTATCTACATTCAAACTGCCAACAAAATCGGAAAATATTCATTAAAAAGCTACAATTTTATTTAAAACTCAGGAACCCGGTGCTATTGATGCTTCATACATATTCTCCAGATTAACGGTTTCTGCAGTTCTAATATTCTCTGCTATGGTACCCTCATCAGATTTCTTCCTTACCGCATGATTTACTGTGCCATCAACAACGCTTACAGTCACCAAATCTGCATTAATGAAAGCCAATAAAACAAAAACTTTCAAAAAAGCAAAAAATAAGCTTCCAATTTTCTGGAAAAACAAACCCATTTCGTTTCCTTCATGTTTCCCAAAACAAGATCTCTTCAGTAATCCTGCTCCAGGAATGACAGCAGATCTTTTAGGACTTATGAGTAGTTCCCGCCTCTTTGAAGGCCTACTTAAAATAAACATATCTTACAATCCTCAATGGAAACAATCTTTTTTTCGAACAAATTTTTTAAAAAAGTTCTTTTCCAAAATTCGAAATCATACTTTATTCCTTTTTTATTACTCTTCCTCATGAATAGATTTCGAAAAGTCAAAACTGATGCCTTTCGACTATGGCATTCGATAATTTTTCTCTTTCGTACCTATAAAAAAATAAGAGCAAAGAGGTTAAAATTTTCACCTTTTAATTCCAGCAACTGCTAGAATATCACTTTACTTTAGCTTCAAAATGGCCTTACTAAATCTTTGTTTGTTACGCTCCTCACTCAAGTATTGACAAGTTATAATTAAACACGCATCTTAAGCCCATAATCTTTTCTTCATTTTTCTGAAGGTTGTTAGAAAATGAACCATTGAAAAAATAGCTAATTTGATGTTATTAACATTGTATAAGAAATTCAGCATTATTTATGTTAGAAAACAGCTTTTAATGTGTGATGCTACAGAAACCACAAAAATCACTTCACGTGACTCGTAGCCCCGCTTAGCATAATCTCCATGAACGTGTTTTTCATGTTTCCTTTCTTTGTGACGATACTTATCGTCCTTTACTTTGTCTGATTTCCTGATCTTTTCACTTCGAGCTCCACGATCACGTGCCTTGTATCCGTGTGATCGAGCAGAATGACAACGATGTCTTGCAGCCTAAAATACAGCATGAATAATAAGGACTATACTTGAGAACTGAAAATTACAACTTAGTAAAAAGTTCGTGAACATAAGTTTTTGAAGAAACACTGTTAGAAAAGCATGCTATAAGCTGAACAAGAATTTCGTAAATAACCTTATAATTTCAAAAATATTTGAATATCCGCACATAAATAACAAATTATCAAAAATTGCGAATATAATATTTCATTGTGATTTATTACAATATATTTACAGAATCTTTGGGTTGTACAGAAAACATTTCTTCGTCATCACTTGAAGCAGGCAAACCCGACTCCAGTTTCGATGTTTTGTTCACTTTAGGAGAAATAGAAAGCATCGGCGTTAAGTTCCGTGCCATATTACTGATTGTAACAGAAACTGATGACGTGGTACCATGTTCCACTTCGATTACTTCACGTTTCGAATTTGAAGAACTATTTAAGACATTACGCCTTTCTAGCAGTTTCTGACGCAATCGTGCTTCCTCACTTTCTGAAAACAATACGATTTAATAATCACCTTCACCAGTAATTTTTGAAAATCATTGCTAATAAAGTCAGCCATATTGTACGGCAGCTGAAACAAAAGCCGAAATCTATGATGCATCTCAAATACATGACAGGCTATAAAGACCCTACTGGAAACAACAGTATTTCACTATGAAAGGAATATGATAAAAAGTGCAATGAGGTAATGGACCAACCAGCATCACTCGAAGAAGCTGATAAATGTTCGTTAGCGTTATTTTCGCTTTCTATCCTCTGACTGCTGGGATTTGAACTGTTACCAGAAATGAGTAGCTGATCAGAAGTACCACTCTCTAAATTTCTTAAAAATAATGCATAATGAATAGAATGAACTAGTTTGGACAAATATGATTCAAACTACTGCACAATTAAACAGAAATACAAAGATCATTCATTCAGCTGACCAATGGACGCACCACACATGAATCTCAAATAACTTACCCAGGCTTTTTCTATCATTATCAACAGCTCCGTCTTCCTTGTCAGAGTCTGTATACTGGCCGTCATCAGAGGGCGAATTCATTGCTACCTGGAAATTGAACTGTCATATGCTAAGAAACTTTGAAAGAAAAAAAAAGCTGCATTTACAATTTGACATTCAGTAAACGTGCATTTATATTTAAGATGACGGATACATCCACAGATAATACTCTAGAATTAGCCTGACACACTAAACTCAATATCGGTTCACAAAATATAACTACTGAAAAATTAGCTATAACCATGCATCATTCACGAAAATATTTTACCTACCACAAACATAACACATGAGACAAAATGAATTATTTACCACCCCAACTTTTAATGATGTAAAGAAATCACCTGCAGGCTCCTTGCCTCAACTACATTGCATCTCAGACATCACAATACATACTGCAAGCGGTAAGAATAATGCTCATTACCTAATATATTACTTTAATCAAGTCGTAATGTAGTTGCAGGAGTTACACAATGGTTCCTAATAATGTCAAATTCCGTTACATTTTGTCGTAACTTTGATTTCCTTTCCCTTATTGTAACTGTCTACTATAGATTTTTACTAAAACTTTTCAGAGCATGGACACCTTCCTAGATCACTTCATATTAGGATCCTAATTCTAAAATCGTTTTATTCATACTAGGCCTGTATTAACTGGACCGTTCTACAAACTACTTCAATAAACTATAAGCAACCAAAATACATCACACAAACAATTCAACACTGCAGATAATATTAATTGTCCTCTATTAAAACATCGGTCAGTAACTGATTCTTACTCAAAGTCCTCAATTAAGCAGTAGCAACAAGTATTTAAAAGTTTCCATTTCTCTGTTAAAAGGAAAAGAAAATAATAACCAAGCTTTAGGAATTAACTCATAGAAATGGACCTTCGACTACTGCCTCGCATATTACATGGATGGTGACAACGAGATTTCCATTTTTTCCCCTTCGGATTTTATTTGCATAATGGGAAAATTTTTGTGATATGATGATAAAATAATGTTGCCCAGCGCAACCGAAAAGTCAATGATGTATGCCTGATTATAGATAGAGCATTGTAAATTAAACCGGCCGGTTAAGTTGCAGTGCTCAACTGACGGTTAGGAATATTGTGACTTTAGTTGCTAGTATGGAAGCTATCGTTTGGTTTAGTATTGGTGGTTTTCGGGCTATCTAGGCAATACCTGCTTTTAATGTAAATCCTGTGTGAAGTCGTTTTTACTTCTGTCAGAGTTGCAATTGTCTGAACTGAGAGTAACTGAACAAAATATTATTGAGAAGTCAGTCAAGAAGTGTTCTGTGCATCATCGTTATGGCATCCGAGAAAGCACTACCCGATTGTAAGAATGAAAAGAAAACAGTTGAATTGCATCGGAAAATATTTGTGGTGAGCAAGTACTTTCATCGCATGGAGTCTGTTTTGTACTTCTCAAATTGGAATAAGCTAAGTCTAAAATATTTTTGATCCTCATTATGTTGCAGATATGTATTGCTTCTGTTATTAGTTAGTAAAATAAGATAATTTATGTTGTTTTGCAGCCAAAGACCGATTGTAACGAATCTCCAGAGTACGTAATTGTATCAGAAACAGAAGAGAGTGAACGTTTGGAACTTCCTTTGTTACCTGATGATAACTCTCTTAGTTTGAACACTTTAGTTCATGCATTTCCGGGGGCTCATGGATTAAAATACAAGAATTCCATGACAGGAGCTAGCCGAGCTTTACTGTAAGTCAGCTCTTACACAGTACTTTCATTTCTCTGTAATTTTTTTTGTTCATTGCGTTAAAAGTTCCGATCATTGACTGGATGTAGTATCACTATACGCACAATTTGCATGTTTACCTCACTTCAAATTTTCATTATTTCTTATTTTTAATGACACTAACAGTATTCTAACAAGGAACAATCCATAAATTTAGTGAGATTTGTTTACTATTTATGAAGGATGCATTGATGACAGATCTGATTAGAATGCTAATGCATGCAGAAAGATTTATAAATATAAAGGCCAGGTATTGTTACGGATATTTTTTGTTTATGATATTTTTAGTCCATGTATTTTGTTGTGGCATTTTAGTATGGATCCTCAAGGGACGCGTTTCCTTTCTCCTACTGATGGTTGGAAGAATAAGACTTTTATTGTCATCTATCCTCATCGTGGATCAGGTATTTATTGCGTTGCAAGACGTTTTTGAAAAAATTTATGTGTCGAATTAAGTGAAATTGATTTTTTACTGTCAGTAGAGTTGAATGGTTGATTTTCTTTGATGGTGAATTCGAAGTAGCCGTTCTTGTCAGTCAGTAAAGTAAGTGTGTAGAAATAGTACTGTAAGGTATATGGCGTTGCCTCTCTCTTATTTAATATTAGCTTGCATTAATGGAAATATAGGTTTGGAAGTGAAAACTAATTTGAAAAAGGTTTATGAGTGGTGATTTTATATTGTTTGCTGATACTGTATGGTGTGATAGAGTGTTGTTTACTACAAACTATGATTTTTCTTCCAAGTGAAAGATTATTCTGAGAAGTGTGATTCCTATTAGATGCTTCATGGATTATATTTGAAACCCACAACTGAATTTAGATCTCGCTGGAATCTTATTAAGTACTTTTCTAGGATTTGGGAAATCAGTAATAGAGTTAGTATCTCATTGATTGTACAAAATACTTGTACAGTGCTTCAAATGTGGAGACAGTAAATAAAATTTCATATTAGATTATATTTAGCTAAATCAACTCATCGAAGAGATTCTTTGTGCAAGTGAGTGTGTATCGTTTATTGTCTAAAAACTTAGCGTGTGGTGTGCAGGTGATCAAAATACGAAGCGCAAGAAGATGATGGATGAGTGTGAGCAAGAGGGCGATTCCGAAGATCCGCAAGGGGGACGCGGGGGACAGTTTACCGCTAAACAAAAGCGTATCGAGGATCCGAGTGGCGAGAAAGCATGTATTGATTTGATTGTCCTCGGATTGCCATTCAAAACATCTGCCGAAACATGCAAAACATATTTCGAAAATTTCGGTGAAGTCGTCCTTTTTGATGTAAGCTAATGCTACGTTTAACAACAAATGATTCCGTCCCTTTGGATCTAATTTTCGTGTATCTTTCACCAGTAGTTAGTAAATGTTCGAAGTGTTGAGATTGGTGATGATTTTGAAGCTGTGAAAAAGTGTTAAGCATATTCAAATTGTTGATTGTGAACTTTTATCAGTTTCAGTTGAGATTACGTGAGTTGATTTGATGCATGATTTTTTCAGTGCTTTTACTCTTGTATGTATTTTGAAGTTTTTGTTTTGCTCTTATATTCTCTGTATTTGACGTGTACGACATCAATTTCTTTTAGTTGAAAACAGATGCTAGTGGTGCGTCTAAGGGCTTTGGATTCGTACGAATGGCTGATTTCGAGGCGCAGCAGCGCATTCTTTCTCAGCAGTCTCATGAAATAGATGGGCGCCGATGTCAAGTTCGGATTCCACTCTCAAAGGTAGTTCACAACCTCATCTTTTTTGTCCATTGTATGATTCCAGATTTTTCAGACTCCATAGATCCTGGCTGCAAATCAACTCAGTATTCCTCTTTGTGGTTTCCAGCTTTTTCAGCAATAATCTTTTCTTCCTCTCTGCTTATCCAGTCTATATCTCTCTTCACTTTTCCCCTTGTTTTATTCTTCGTTCCTTCATAAGTACTGCAACAAGAGGTTTCATGAGCACAAACATTGTGGTCAATCACTTTTTTTCAATTCTTAAAAGTTGTTTGTGAAGTGGGGAGTTCTTCAGAAACGCGTTTGTAGCCATAGATAACTGTCTGATTGATTGCTGGAATTCACCGTTCCGGTGTTTTTTACTGAGGATACACTTGCCTTTGTTATACATATGAATACGCAAGGTTAATCTTCCATTTTGCTTTATTGATTCTGGCGCTGGATCATATTCCGATCCTCAGAATTGTTGTGCTGTTCTCCATTGCTTGATCTTGAATCCACGGCGATGAATGAGATTTTGAGCGATGTCGTTCGAATATCTATCTCGAAATGATCAGTTTAACTGGTCTCCTTTGCATAGTGTTTATGGGAGCTCGTCTACAATCTTTTTTGTGAAAGTTCGTTACAATCCCTATCCAAGTCATATGCAGAATTATTTTCTTCTTGCAGGTCATCTCTGACCGGAACTTACTTTCGGCCTTTTCTCGGTCTCAACTGCAGTCAACCTGTCTTGATCAGTGGTGCCAACCTCTATTAGAATTACTTTGTATGTCTCCTTATACACGAAAATATCCGTCTGATTCGCACTCAGCTTTATAGCTGTTCTTATTCCCATATCGACTCTTACCTCCACGTTCTCATTTGCAGCAATGTCCTGAATGGGATGGCTTCGCATTCTTGGAAATGCTGCCAGATAGACGCATCTCACCTCATCTTTAAGTATGGTCATGATGAAGATTTTCTCATACTGCTCTACCAGATGGTTCACCCTCTTCACAGTATTGACGCATATCTTTCTCAGCTCTATACATTTTCAGTATCGAGCTTCATTTTGCGGGGTAATGTTTCTGTATCGTTGCCATATTGATGAATCAGCTACAGACAAGATTTTATTCGTCCACATCTTGTATAGTTTTGCTTGACAAATTTTCTTTTCTACTTCGCTATACAGGAGCGCTTTCTGGGCTGCTAATACGTTCTCGACAATTGAATTTTCTGGGAGATTCTATTTATTCTGAAGATAGGGTACAATAACTGATAGGTAGGTGTTGTGAGCCTTTTCCTGCTTCAAAGCCGCCGTCTTATCGTTAGATATGGGTGGTGCGCTTTCTTCAAGTACGTTATGGATTTGCAGG